TGGCCCGGCTGCGCTCCAGCCCAGGGGCTGGCTCCCTGGGGAAGCACAGAGGATCCAGTGGGCCCAGGGCATTGTTGGGCCAGACTTTGTCCGGTGGCCCAGCAGCCCAGCTCTGTACACCCATGCATCTTGTTTTGCGTGTTTGTCTGCCTGTCTGGTTCCATGTGTGTGTGTGTGTGTGTGTACACATGTGTCTGGTTCTGGATGTGTGTGCGCATGTGTCTGTTCTGGTTCTCTGTGTTTGTGCACATGTGGTTCTGTGTGCATGTACATGGCTGGTTTTCTCTCTCATCTTTTTTCTCTCTCTTTTTTCCTCTCTCATTGCAATATGCTTACAAAAAAGGAATACACAACAACAAAGGCAATATTTATGATTATTAAATATACTAATATGCAGTGCATCCTGCCATGTACCCCCCACCCAACCCTCTTTTTTGCGGGGGGAGGGACGCGCCAGCACTCTAGTACCTTCCAAGGTAGACATTGTGTTTTTTTAGGCAATCCGGCCAAAAAACATTGCCTACCCCTGCTCTAAGGTATCTTCCCTTTGCTTTCATCTGCCACACCTTGATCTTGTTAATAAAAAACTTGGAAGGGTCTAGATCCAGCTGTAACCTGTCCTCTTTACACATGGATCTCTCTTGGACCCCATTGTTCCCAATCAATTCTTCCCACTGGGTGAGCCTTCCTGGCCCACATGTGCCCCCAAGAGCACCCATTGCCTTGTGGGCTAATCACAGCCTCCAGCCTCCCCTGTATCCATGCCCATGCCTCATAGGTGTACCAATCAAACAATCTAGTGGGCCTCAGCCTCAGTCTCTCCTCCAGTCTCCTCCTCTCCTGGGCTGTACTTTCTCTATCATCATCTCTGCCCCTCTTTGGGCTGTGGGCTCTCACTAGCCCCTCTTTTTCCCTACCTGGGCTCTGGCCTTGGCTCAGCCTCTCTCAGCCACTGTACTACTGCTTACTCTGCCCTCCTGGCAGGGTCAAACCTCATGTGCTTTGCTGGCACTACTGGGACCTCCTCTTGCCCCCTTCCAGTCCTACTCAAACCACCAACTAAAACACAAACCAACACACCAGCTCAGTGGCTACAACTTAATCCCCTAAGCATGCCGGTAACCTGAAATCCCCACCCTACAGAGTCTCATCCTCATGCCAGCCCTCAACTCCTTACTGACATATCTCAGGGATAGAAGCATCTCTATCAAGCTCTCATCAGCAAGCATCTTACTGCAGAGCTCCTTCCCCTTCAGCCTCCAGGGCCAGAATGACTGTTTGGGTTCTGGCCCTGGTTTATATGCCAGGAGAGCCCTGCCCCCTTCCAGTCAGATGACTCCCTGGGCAGCCTGCAGGTTTGATCCTAACTGGTTTGACTTACTCACCTTCAAAGTAGCCTATAGCAGCAGACCTAGTAGTTGTAGCCTTGCCTTGTCTCCCACACAAGGCTTGGTCTTGTACTACTGCCAGAAATCTGCTAGACTGCAGCATGTTTCTTGCTACTCACATAGATTACTCCACTATTGTAATTACTGTACTACTAGCTACTACCTATTGCTGTGCTACTAGAACAGCAATCGGCACCTCCCATTCCTGGGCTCTGGTGGTCTATCTCGTTACAGCTAGCCCCCTTTTAGTCAATCTGGGCTCTGTTTGCCCGTATTTTCTTCTCTGCCCCCTTTTACTCTCACCCCTTGATGTCCCCTGGGGAGGTACTACAGTGTCCTCTACCTAACTGTAACAGAATGCCCTGTACCCAGGGATCAGTGGGACTACAGGAAGCTGCTTCCATCCCATCAAACCCACAGCTTCCTCTGGCCTAGAATTCTGTGGACCAAAACAGTGATGCCTGTGTTGCTTTCATGGTCAGATAACTTCTGCCCACTGACTCTTTATAGAAGATGTGGGCAGTTCTGAGTTAGCCTATGGATGGCTTACAGAAGCCATCCATTAAAAAAAAAATCTTTCTATATCAATTATGCAAATATAGCTATTACCCGTATACATGTCTAATCTTTTTACCTACCCCATTAAACCCTATGCCTATAGGACATCTTGTGACCAGGAGTTCCACAAGGTAGCTTGTCCACTGTAATAAAGCGTTTCCTTTTCTTCATTTCATTAGCTGCCTTTTCATGTCATTGATCATTCCTTTGTTCTTCCAGTAAGAGAAAACAAGAAGAGAAGAATGTAGTTTGCCTGGTCAAATCCATCCATTTTCCTGCATATCTCTTTCACATCCCATTGTCCTAGTCTCCTCTCTAAACTAAGGAGTTCCAATCTTTCTATTCTCTTCATAGGAAAGTCTTCCTAGGCCTCTACTCATGGTCAGCATTATTTCTGAACCCTTTCTATTTCTACTCTCTCCCTTCCAGGATACAGAACAACTGGAATTGATCACAATGCTCCAGGTAAGGGTCTCCCACCAAGTTGCATAATAACATTACCATATGTTCTGTATTTTTTCCATCCTAATCCTTTGCTTGACTTTTTTTATACCACCAGTGAACATGAAGTTGGATCCAACAGCTCCTCCATCTTTTCCCTGAGTGGTCACAGTTAGAAAAAATGCACTGATGTGTCTAAAAGGATCAAATTATTCCTTTCCATTATGGATTCTGCTGTATTTGAATTTCATCTCCTACCATGCTGTCTGTTCACTTAGCTTTATTCAGTCGCTCTGAAATTCTTCAGTCCTTTCTGGTCTTGACTAACTTAAATAAGTTTGTGTTGTCTGCAGACGAGAGGCAACTAATGAATCAGGTTACTTTGTTTACAAAGAGGTTCTGCCCATAGGAAAGAGGATTCCTTGTTCTCAGAAAA